CCTGCTGAGGATGGAGCCCTGAGGACGTGGTGGGTGTTCCACGTGCAGCACTAGGTGGGACCTCCAGAATCATCTCACAAGGAACCCGCCACCCCCCAGCTCCATCCCTCCCCTATTCCCTGATCATGGGTCCAGCACTTGTTATTCTGAGTTGCTTTGATTTGCTCTCAGAGAATGTTCAGCTCTGCTGGATTGCATCCCAAGGCTGTCCTTGAAAACCTGTGGAGCACCAGGGCTAGAAGAGGCTGGATGGCACCCAGGAGGGGGATAGTGTAGAGAGAAGGTCCTCTCCCCACTGGGGGATATACTAGGGGGGTTGACTAAGCTGTCTTGTGCAGCTTCACCCTGTGTGTCCATCAGTTGGCTTTGGCTTTGTGTTGCTGGGAAAATGTCTTCAGGTGGAGGGGAGCAATGACCAGCAGTGTAAGGTGAGTGGTGGCCTGGAGCTCACCTCAGGGCTGGGCTGATGCTGTGTGAAGCTGTGGCTTCGGGAGCCCAGAGCTTCCAAATGAGGCAGGACTCTTGTCTAGTTGAAAACCTTCAGGGGGTTTGTAATGAAAATATTTGTGTTGCTTTAAGCCTGCAGTGATTGCTGTGGGTTTGGCTCTCAGTGCCCTTGGCGTGCCTTGAGGTTGCTGTCACCCCACAACACCAGATGAGCTGCCTGGAGCCTTGCAGGGAGGGAGGTCCCATGAGCTGTTGGTGGTGCCAGGGTTTGGACCACCCTGTCCACCCCTGGGATTCTCCACCAGCCCTTTGCTCCAGCTCTGGAATACCAGGACCCTCACAGGGCCCTGCAGCCCTGGGGATTGGCAGGGTGGGAGGGATGGGGCTGGTTCCATCCTGGTGTGTGATTGTCCTGCTGGAGCTCTTGGCTGGAGGAGAAAGCAGACAAACAGCCCAGCTCCTGGCAGGCACCCAGCGTGGGCAAGACGAGGCACAGCACCCGCCTGGGAGTGGAGCCTGTGTTCAGCCCCAGTGCTGGGGCTGTGCCCTGGGGAGCTCAGTGTTGCTCGTGGGCAGGCAACATGTGGTGGGGAGAGACAACCTGTCCTGGTGCCAGGGAGACCCTCACACCACCCCCAGTTATGAATCCATCCATCTCATTCTGGGTTGTGTTCACTCAACCTTAATTTTAACACGTGCCTGAAGGAGACACCCAGTTCCCTCCTGCTCCTTCCTCCTCTGTTTGTTTCCCTGTGACCATGGAGGGTCCTCTTTCTGGGGTGCTTCTCTCTAAGCATAGGCTCTGTTACAAACATGACTCTTTCCAACTGCCTCCTTTGTCCTTCTGGAGAGCCTGGCTGTGCAGGAGGCTGCACGGACCTGCGGGGGATGAAGCAGGTAGGACCCTTGCACAAGGACTCAGACACAGCCCTGACCCATCCCCAGGCTGGTATGTGGCACGTTTGGTGTCAATGGCTTTGCACAGCTGGGAGTTAGGAGAAATGAAGGATTTTGAATGTTATTCACTAAAATACAAACTTTAGACCTGACAGACATCCCAGTTCTGACTCCCAAGCTGCTGCCTCACTGACACTGTATCTCAAACTAATGAGTTCTTGGAGTGCAGCTCCTTTTCAAGCCCTGGGTCAGTCATCTCCACAGCTAGTGTGAAATGCTAATATGAAGATACTGCCAAAATAATGTGAAATAAAGCAGAATCTAAAAATAGGAAACAGCTAAGAGCCCTGCTTGTGAACAGATTCTTCTCCAAGGAAGCTACAGTCTGGTTAAGATCAGTGCAGGGAGAAAAATCCATCAGCCACCTCGACAGCATTGAACTGACAAGAACAAAATACAGCTGTCCTGGGTCAAGCTGAAGGTCTGTTAGTCCAAAGTCCTGCTGGCAGCCAGGGCTGCAGGGCGGGCACTGAGGGAGGCGGGTAATGCAGGCAAGCACATGGAGATGTTCCTTGGAGGGGCTGGTCGAGCTTCTGGTTGACTTTCTGGTGGGTCTGGCAGCTTCTGTGGCAGTAGAAGGAGCCTGCCATCTCTTCTTACATGGGTTCATAAAAACAACAGGGCAAATGCATGCCTGGGGAAAAATAAACCTATATGGGTTGAAGTGTTCCGTGTCAGGGCTTCCCAGCCAACGTGTGCTGGGCTCAGAAATCCCTCCTGTTGTTTGCCCTGAGCTGAGTCACAGGGGAGAAAGAGGCCAGGCAGGATTTTTAGAGCAAAATAACCCAGCTGAAACTATTGAAGAGCAAATGGCAAAAGCTAATTTACTCTGACAATGCAACAAAAGGCTTAATTCAGGCTGCCAGTTCAGCTTAAGTGCAAAAAGTGGTTTGCAGCTCCTCAAACACCTCCAGGTTGGTGTTGGGCTGGAGGCAGTGGGTCTGTGTGAGGTGAGTGCTGCCTGCCACTCCCTGGCTGTTTTGCCATCCTGTGAGCAGCCCGGGTGTGATCCATGAGGGGCTCTGGTGTGAAGGCTCAACCCTCTTCAGGTTCCCTGTGAAAACAGAGCTGGGAAAGAACAGCTGGAGATGAAAGCAGGGAGGTGAGGCTGCCTCCCTTCCCCAGGGACTGGTTAGTGGTGGCCAGGGGGGTTTGTGGGCCCCAAGGAGCAGATGGCTGGGCTCTTGGTCTCAAACTGTCTGAAGAACCACTCCTGGCTTGTTAGTGTGTGGTTGTCCCAGTGCTATGTCCGTGAGGAGATGGAAGACAGAGAAGTCATCCAGTTCCCTGGATCTTTGGAGCAGGGTGTGATGAAGCAGAGATCCACCTCCTGAGACTGGGGCTGCACTGGGTCAATCAGGACCAACCCCAGTCGAAGCACCATCATACCCTGCACACAGCCAGGTCTGAACAACCATCAGACCTGTGCCTTCTCACTGGATAAACCCTACAGGTGGTTAGTGGAGAGTCAGCAGATGCTCTGAAGGACTGAAGAGGAAATTAGAGGGCAAGCATGTAGCTATTAAGAGGTTAAACAGACACGCTTACCTCTCCTGCCTGTGCTTTGCATCTTCTTCTATTATTGCAAAAATCAAAACCACATTTGGGCTGATGTAAATGAAATGGTAAATTCTCAAGGAACTCTTTTGTGGGCTGTGGGACTGGCCTGATATCTGACCAGAAACAGTACCTGGGCCTGTCATTAGCTCCTCAGGAAAGCAGTTATGAGTTTTAGAAGGTTCTGGCATCAGTACAAAACCAGAAGGAAAGAGCTGTGGGGTTTAACGAGCTGTGTGTTATTCTGTGCAGGGCCAGAAAGAGACAAGTCATTAGACTGATGGTCAGGAAAAAGTGATGTCCCACAGAACTCCCTGCAGGGAGCTGTGAGGGTGACTGTGCTCATCTTCTAACCCCCTAAGTAGCCAAAGGAAGAGCTGCATGGTTTCCAGGGACTGACTCTCACAGCAGGGTCTAAGGCCAAGGATTCTAAAGCAGCTCTCCTGAAAGAGAGTGTTGTGTTATTTTAAGCAAGAGACAGATCTGAAGAGGGGACTTGGGCACACACTGCCAAGGTTGACAGAAATCTCTTGATTTATAGCAGCATTGTTGTGGGATATGGCCCTCGGGGAGCTGGGCTGACCCCAGAGCCCTGGCCCTGACATCCAACCTCTGGTAGATGCCCTTGGGGTAGGCAAAACACACGTCATCTTCAGCAATAACTGTTCCCTTTATCTGCCACTTATTCCAAGAAAACAAGCTCTTTGAAAACCAAGCATTCTTTTAAGTAACCCTTTTGTTTCCCCCCCCCTAGATTAACCCTGGCAGTAAAGCAGCCATGGCAAACCTGTGCCCAGGAGATGTTATTCTGGCGATTAATGGGGAGAGCACAGAGAACATGACACACCTAGAAGCACAAAACAAGATCAAAGCATGCATGGACCAGCTGCTGCTCTCTGTGAACAGGTAGGTCCTCCCCTCATGTCTGAGGTGCCCCTTTCCTATCAGCTTTGCTTGACTGTCCTGCAGAAAGTGGTTCCTGGTGCAGCCTCATAGTCCATGTAATTTTCTGTGTTTTTAAAAACAGGGAGACAATTATTTTTAAAAACTCACTGCTGCAATAAGTGGGTGCAGTTCATTTATCTGAGCCTGGATTCTTGCTGGCACCTTGCAAAGCTTGTGCAGCCTGTGGGCTGGGTCAGATCCTTCAAGCCAATGGAGCTTTCATCGACTCAAGCAAGAGTAGCCCAGGAATCACCATCTCCTTTGAGTGATGCCTCCCACTGCATTAACACCTGTCATTTTCCTAAACATCTGTTTGATGAATGTACATTAGGAGGTCCTGCCAAATGCACTGTTTTAGAGTATTTCAAGGCAAAATGAAGGTTTGGGTTGTTTGGGGTTGTTTGTTTTTTTTTGCTTTCCTTTGGAATGAGTTCTGTAGCTCAAGGTTCCTAACACAAATCACAAATCATCCAGCCAAACCAAGTGCTCCTTACAAGGCTCACAAATCACTAATGGTATCTGTAATAGATTAAAATAAGTTTATGCAATATTCCACTTCAGATTAAAAAGGCATTTCCTGCTATCAAGAGCTATCATTTACTGTTTATGCTTCTTTTTGGAAAACATGTAGCTCCAGAAATATCTTAGAGCACCTTCTAGTGCCTGAAGGGGCTCCAGGAAAGCTGGGGAGGGACCTGGGACAAGGGCAGGAAGTGAGAGGACAAAGGGTAGTGGATTAAAACTGGAGGAGGAGAGATGTAGGTGAGACATGAGGAAGAAATTATTTGCTGTGAGGGAGGTGAGACCTGGGCCCAGGCTGCCCAGGGAAGCTGTAGCTGCCCCATCCCTGGCAGTGTTGAAGGGCAGGTTGGATGGGGCTTGGGGCAGCCTGGGAGGGGTCCCTGCACATGCAGGGGGTGGGACTGGATGAGCTTTAAGGTCCCTTCCAATCCAAACCACCCTGTGATTCTATGAAATCATTGTGTAGTGACACAGGGTTTTGGGGTGCAGCTGCTGAGCTCATTTGGCAGCAGAACAACTTTATCCAGAGCTGCAAGAAAGTTTTGCTGACAGTGGCTCCCACCTACAGTGTGGCAGCAATTTATTCTCACATACAAGGGTTTGTACTCTGAGTTTATGGGCTGAATTCCCACTTCTGCACCTCGTTTTAGCCACGGGTGTCAACTGGCCTCTGCTGGCTGAGATGGGGCCCTTGAGTCCTCTCCTCTCTTTGAGTTGAATTTGCCCAACTGCACCTTCCAGGGTGGATATTTTCAACTGTGAGAGCTCTCAGTGTGCCCAGGGGAGCAGTGGGTCCCCCATGGCAAATGGCCTGCAGCCTGGCAGTGGTGCAGGGCTCCTGGGTGAGGTGGCCTGGGCTTTGCTAGGCAAGAGCATTTCAATGGTTTTGCCAGGACTTTTTCTTCAGGAGTGCAAATTTTCAAGGCTCTCCTGTCTCACAGCCAGGCAAAAAATAAATGCTCAGGCTTTGGCAAGACAGGAACAGACTGGAGCTGGTGATGGTGAGGAGCTGCTCAGCACAGGGTGGCTCCTCTTGGGGAGGAGATCACAGTGTTAGGTCAGTTTGGTGGCTCTCCAAGAGCAAACTCACCTCGGCCTGGGGAAGCCTGTGGGACCAGCCTTGCCCTTGATAGGAAAAACTGAATGGGTTATTCTTTCTACAGTAAGGACAGCAGCTCCAGTCGTGCTTTATTAGCTCTATTTTTGGTTTGGCCCAAAGCAAGTGCTCAGTGACATGGCTCTTGGATCTCCCTCCTGTTTCCTGAGAGACCTGTTGGATCCAGATGCCCCTGCCCAGCCGTTAGTCATCACTGGAAGCAGGTCTGACGTTCCCTCCTCGGTGGGAGTGAATCCCTGCTCGAGGACCTGCCTCCCAGGAGCAGAGTGACCTTGTGCTGGTGAGGGAAGCACATCCCAGGGCAGGGATGAGGGGTTTTGTTTGCAAATCAACACAAGGAGATTTATTTATTTTTTTTAAATAAGTGTCTTAGCCTGAAATACATTTGAAATAACGACCTCGTTTGCTTTGGAGATGTTAATTTGGAGATGTTCATGGACATGTTCAACCTAAGGATGCCCCTTCCAGGCAGGCATGTGTGCCGAGGGAGGGCAGGAGCTGGGCAGGGAGCCCAGCAGTGAAGGGCTTCCAGCCCCCTGGTGCCCTCTGGGCTGCTTCCATCCTGTGCCCTTTCTCCATGAACCCCTGACATTCTGTGTGACCCAGATATGGAACAAGACTCGCTTTGTTTTCAAGCTGTGGTCAGTAAATGTCCTTAGACTAGAAAGTTCAGTAGGAAAGTTGGAATGGGGGGAAGATGTGTGGGAGAAAGCAAGAAGAGGGAATTACTGTGTGGTCTGATAGGATGTCCTGAGACTGATGTGGCCTGTCTGGTTTTTGGGGGGGTTGGGGATGCAGAGAGCCCATGAATCTGATGGAAGGAGCTGCTGATCATCCTGTTTTATGGAATTTGCTTCATTAAGACCTTTTAGTTGCCCAGGTGGGGAAATGAGCCAGGAAGATCCTGTGTTTGTGGGTGGAATAAACCATTAGCACGTCAAGCTTCCCTGGGCAGTGCAGGCAACATCCCTGTCCTGTGCTTGGGAGGGATCTATGGAAGTCAGTGGGGTTTCTGTTGGGATGCAAACCTTGGCCATAGTGAGGCGTGACCGTGTGGCTGGACTGTAAATAGATCAGTGCATCCCTCCTTAGCACAGCCTGTCATCAGGGCTGTCATGCTGGACTCACTGGTTTTTCTCCTGAATGGAGAAAAATTCTGCTGCCCTGCAGAATCTCTGCACGTTGTCAGCCTGGAAGGAAAAAAAAACAGAGTTCTAGGTCGAATGTGAACATGTTATTTCCAAATACCTTAATGGAGAGCAGCACCTGGAGCCCTGCTGGCTGGAGGAGCGTGCCAGCTGTTGGGAAGCACATCTGCCCTGGCTGTACTGACTCCAGAGGGAGCTGGGGGGGCAGTGTCACTGGGACCCCTGGAGCAGTGAAGTTTTGAGGCAGCAGGGAAGGTTCATGGTGCAAGAAAGGAACCTCATCACTTCCTAGCTTGTCTGGCAGGGCTGGGACAGCTCCTGGGAGTTGAAGGAGCTTTTGTTTCCTCTCCAAGTTTCCCTCCCTGGTTACAAACTCAACGCCAGGTTATCAGTGAGCAGGGTAGTGTCTGGCACGGGGATTTCAAAGCTGCTGAGTGTTCATATGAGCAAGTAATTGAGCATTAAAATCAGTCTTATTTATCATGATTGACCCTCTCTTGTCCTGGGAGGCCAGCAGCACCCAGGCCAGTGCACACAATGACTCCATGGTCCAGAGGCATCAGCTCAGCAGTGCAGCTGGCCCTGTGCTTGCTTACCTATTCCTGGGTGTTTCCTTATCTCTTCTAAAGACTTCCTGGAATGTTAACATCTCGTGGCTCTCCTGCCTGTGAGAGAGGGCTTGTTCCTTCAGATCAGGTCATGGCTCAAATAAAAGGAGCCACAAAATTGGGTTGGAGCTAAATTGTCCCATCAGGCAGCTTGTTCCAGCATCCTCTTCCCAGCTGTTGCATCCCAAGAATCCCAAGCAGAGATGGCACAGGGACCCTTACTGGTATCTGCAAGGGAGGGTAAGGGCAGGTTATGGGGCAGCTTTTGGAGAGGATCCTGAGTGTTAAGCAGCCCTGTGAATTGTTGCTCACAGAAACATGGGGTGGAGATCTTGGTGTTTAGTCACAAAATTATGCATTTGACTGGCAGCCAAGGATTTCAGAGATGGAAATGTGTGGATGAGGATGATCACATGGCAAAACTTGTTCTTTTTCCTTTTTCTCACTGCAAAGTTGTCTCCAATTTACACGAGTGAGGAAATTCCTTACCAAGCAAGAACTGTGCTTCTGGCTTCTCCACTCCATGTTCCTGTGATGTGCAGGGGGGATTTTATGTGTGTTGGGAGACTTTTTTGAAGCAAAAAAAAATTCTTGATGCTGTTCTTCCCAGTCCAATCCAGTTGCAGCCCTTTCTTTGGAAAATAACAGTGGGGTTGTTGGTGTGTGGCGCCAGACTGGCAGCATCTGCCTTGGACCCAAGCACAGCCAAGGACCCTGAGGTGGTTGTGTTGGGTTTGTTTCCTGACTGGTGGCAAAGGATAAGTCTTCAAAGGTTCAGGTTTGGTTCCTTCTGCCTGCAATAAATCCTGGCAGCAGTTTCTTCCCTTTCAGTGTGGTGTGTGTGCTGCAGGAGGGGCACTCAGGAGTGGTAACTCTTCTTTTTAAACAGCAGCTCAGGGGGCCTGGGAAGTGGTTTTGCCCTGTGCATCCCTGGCAGAGCAAGGATAAGGGGCTGAGCAGGGAGCTGGCATGCAGAGCTGGGGACAACCCGGGTTCCTCTAGGGGCATCAGCTGCAGTTCTTCTGGTTAGGTTTGTTCTCCTTTGTGTGAGATGGAGCAGTTGAGCCCAGGGGCAGGAGCAGCTGAGCCCAAGGACAGGACTGCAGTGAGGCTTTAACCACCATCCAGGGGGGTAGATAATGAGCCCTGCTTCCCTGCAGGCACATAGGGTGCAGAGAACCAGCACAGACCCAATCACCACCCCAGTTCTGCTGAGTCGCTCGGAGAATCCGAGTATGAAGATTTTCTGTTTGTTCCTGCTCTCTGCCTAGAGATGGACTTTCCCTGGAAATTTCGATGGGAAAACATCCAATAATGAGTCTGCTGAGCATGTAGCCCTGGAAGTCCCTGGATCCTCACGTAGGGGATGTTCTCCCTCGTGCCCCCCAGGTCTCTCCCAGCCCCTGGAGGCGTTGCTGGGGTCTGGAGGGTGGGTGGGCAGGCTGCTGGAAGGTGGGTGGGCAGGCTGGCAGTGTGGGATGTTCTCAGGTTTCCAGGAAAAGTACAACTGAAAGAAGTGAATCACAGCTTCCCCTCTGGAGCTCCTTGAGGACTAAGAGAGAGGAAAACCAGCAGCTTTCCAGAGCCTGGATACACAGAGATGGCTTCAGCTGAGAGGGATGAAGGGAGGAGAAATCCTGCAGCTTCTCCTTGGCGTGCCCTGGATGTGCCAGGTCCATCAGGCTGCTTGGCTCCTCTGCCCATTCACCAGCCTGGGCACAGCCTTGCCCACCTTGGCTCTCTTGGTGAGGTTTGACAGCCCTGGGGAAGAACCAGCACCACCTGTAGCTGCTTCTAGACTCCATGCAGCTCCTGGAAGGCTAATGGCCATACCAGTGCTGAACACCAGCCATGGCCATGGTGATGTCCCATCACAAGAGGTGAATAGTGTCCAGGAGATGGGCAGGATCCTGGAGCCACCACCTCCAAGAAGGAACTGTACAGGTTGGGGTGCAGTACAGCAGCAGGGCTGGTTCTGGAGCCTGGTGCAGCTTGTCACCCCTCCCACCTGCCCAGCAGCAGACATCAGTGCCCTGGGTCTGCTCTAGCACTTTCCCAAGTGCTAAATGTTAGTTTATGAGGGGGTGGAGAAATTAAAAATTCAATAAGACCCAGGAATTCCTTCAACTTAAAGGCAGCTCTACAAATGTACAGAGCAAGACTTGCAGATTGTTGCCAGGTGAAAAAACATTTTGGTAAAATACGTGAGCATGTGCAAGTAATCTTCTGAGAATGATGGTGAGACTTTTAGAAAACAAATAGTGGGATAAGAGGTGTCTGCAACTTCATTTGTTTAGTTGTTAATGGGTCTGTTTCCCACGAAGGCCCATGTTGGAGGCCTAGCCCTAACCTGGGTCTAGTTATTTGGCTTAGGATTGTCCCAGCAGCTGGTGAAACAGAGGGGAGTGTTGCTAGCGCAGGGTAATGATTTCCACGTAGCTTCAGCCCCTCTGACACATCTGAAAACACTTTCCTGTCCTGGGGCTGTAAATGAAATGACTCGGAACATTTGAGTCTGATCTCTCACCCCTCACTCTAGAGGAGTGTGGTGGGTTTTTGCTGTTTCCTAAAGACAAAGCTCTGCCTGTTGGTGGTGTGAAGGGTGGCTGTGCTGATCCCCCTGCACTGGTGCTGCTGGGAGTGTGGGTGCCTTGCTCTTTGGTGGGGCTGGTGTTTCTCCCAGTCTCCTCTGCCTGTAGAGGTGTCAAATGGCACCTACATTGTGCTGGGTCAGTGTAGTTTCAGAGTTGTTCAAGTGGAAGCTGTGGCTGGGCTGAGCCTGGCTTTGCTCAGGCCAGTGCTGGGAGCTCTGTGAAGCCACTTTGCTTGGACCAAAAACCTTTTGGTCGCTCTGAAGAGCTGATGGTGAAGCCTTGAGTTTAATCATTAAAAGTACTGACTGTGAAGGGGCTGTCCAAGCCAAAGTCTGGCTGTGTCTTTCATGAAGTGTAAAGACACTATTGATTTTTGGAAAACTCAAGTTTAGCTGTTTTCTGGTCCAGCCAGTGTGAGCTTTGCTGGTCAGAGTTGGTGGGGAACTGGGACAATCCAACTGGGAAGTGCTGTCAGGAGTGGGGACCACATGCTGCAGCTTCATGAAGAGTAGATTTACTGATATCATGGAATGGTTTGGGTTGGAAGGGACCTTAAAGCTCCTCCAGATCCAACCCCATGCATGGGCAGGGACACCTCCCACCAGCCCAGGCTGCTCCAAGCCCCATCCAACCTGCCCTTCAACACTGCCAGGGATGGGGCAGCCACAGCTTCCCTGGGCAACCTGTTCCAGTGGCTTCTGCAATTGGAATCACTTTCTGGATCTCAGTTCTTATTAACTGGCAAATCGAAGTCTATGGGGATATTTTCAGCTGTGTTTGGCACATGGGCTCCAGAGCAGAGTGAGGGGGAGTTCCATAACAGCCCCTTCTCAGCAAGTGCTCAGCAGGATGATCACAGGTCAGGGAGAAAGCACGGAAATGATAAGGGTGATCACTGCCAATGTAATTAGGCATTTTCATTGTTCTGGGCCTCCGGATGAAATTATTCATGTGGAAGTAATATACACAGTGCTGGATCATGGCAAAAAGCAAGTTGGGGTTGCTAGGAATGCTGCTGTTCCTGGGAACACTGGCTTTCTTTACCCCACTGTAAAACAGTTGGAAAGACCAACTTAAAAAAGGGTCCCAGCCTAAAAACTGAAGTTATTATGGTGAAGATGATTAATTGGAACAAGGCATCAAGGGAGAGCAGGTTCTGCCCTGTTGAAAAGCTGGTGGTAGTACTGAGTAGTGGTTTGGGACAAAAACAGCTTAAATCCTCAGGGGATGGATCCAAAGTGTGTAAAAGCCAGTGGGGGTCTTTGCTTTGGTGGGTTTCAGGTCAGCCCCCCCATTTGGAAAGGCAGGATTGTGTGCTGGCCAGTTGAGATGCAAAATACTAAAGGTAAAAATCCACCTGAAGGATTCCTGGGTTAAAACCTTTTTTGAAGCCTCCTCATTTTTGAAGCTTGGACTCTGCAGATCATTAAACCCCAGCTGAGTGTGGCAGGGGCCAGAGTCTGAGGAAGGATGTGTGGCTGCAGAGAGGGGCAGGAATTCCCACTGGCATCACGAGGTGTGTGTGCAGATTGTGAGGACAGAAAGGGTAGTTTGCCTTTGAAAATTTTATCTTGCACTTCAAGCAGTTCCCATCTCCTAGCTCAACTTCTTAGCATCCAGGAAAGCTCATGTGTCTGTGCCTTCTGGAGTAAGCATCCCAGGAAAGACAGTTATTTATATATATAAATATATATGGCTAATATATATATACACATATATATATGGCTAATACATGATCAGATTTCAGGATTCAGGACCAAAATAAAGAGGCAAAGCTAGGAATATACAAAACAAGAACCACCACAAGCCTGTCTACCCATTTTGTGAACTGAAATAAGTTTGTATCTTAAACCTGACACTGAGTTGGAGCCTGTAGTTCAAGGATGGTTTTGAGCTTCGTGGTTTCAATAGTGTGGAACTGGCATACTCTCGATTTACCACTGTATTATTTCTGAGGATAATTTTAGACAAACACATGTATATATTCATTCCCTGGCAGGCCTGTGTGCTCTCTATCTGTTTGGGGGTTGGGGCTTTTCTATGTTTTTCTTTTTGGAAAGAAGTCTGAGGGTTTAGTTGCTTGGGTTTTTTTCTGGTTTGTTGTGGTTTTCTTAAAAGCAGTTAAAGTTGAGTTTATTAAATGTCCCCTTGCAGAGCTGAAGGGAAGACCTGGTCACCTCCTGTTCTGGAAGATGGCAAAGCTCAAGCCTACAGGATCAGCGTTGAGCCAGAGGCACAGGTAGGGCAGCAGCCCTGCACCCACCCTGGGGCAGTGGGGAGAGTGGCTGGGGAACAGCAGCACCCACAAACCTGCCCTGGTATCACACACAAGCAGCTCACAGATCTGCTCATCTTTCTGCACTGCCAGGGCAGGGTGATGTGTGTGCTTGGGCTTCGAGTTCTGGAAGTGTTTGCTTCATTCATCAATTGCACCAATCTTTTTTGACAGATATTTTTTCTTAATAGACTTTTATGTGCCCCAAACCCTATGAATAATATTAAATAAAGACCAAATGTGCAGCAGTTCCTCTGCCAGAGACAACATTTCTGAGGTTTAATGCAGATTGGATTTGAATCTGACTATTAATATATATTTTACACATGGATCTTTTTAAAAATTAGACAGTTACATAGAGTATAATGAGGGGGTAGGGATGGGTTTTTCCTCAATCTAGACCTACACTGAAAATGTCTAAATCTGTGGAGTTCTCAGTGGGAAAAGCAGACGTGTTTGTGGCACGGGACTGAGAGGTGTGGGAAAAAGAAAAATCAGGTAAAGGCAGCAAATTTCTGCTTGTGCTCTTCTTCAGTGGTTGGATCCCCACTTCCTCTTGCTTAATGGCTTTTTGGGCTCCCCAGAGAGGAGGTGAAAGAGGTACCAGTGGAGTGTTCCTGCTGTGGGCTTACCCAAGATGTGCTGGTTGATTCTTCACCCTCCCTGAACTGACTGTCCCCTGGGCTTGGGACATGTGCCAGCAGCTGTCCTAACCCCTGTCTTATCCCAGATGTCCTCTGGCTTGAATGATACCAGTGATGGCATCAGCAGGCATCTCATCCCCTGGGAGATGGCAGGGCCTGGGGCTGTCCCAGGCTGGATTCCTCCAGCCCCTGGAGCAAAGGTGCTCACTTGGTTGTTTGAAAGAAACGACTCATTGTGAAGTAAAGCTTGGCTCAAAGTCATTGCCCTGAGCTTTTCATTCCCACCCTGACCTCAGAAAGAGCCACCCCAGAAAAATGTCAATCTAGTACCCTGACCACACTGGCTCCTAATGAAAAAAATGAAGACAATTTTATGTGGGGGTTGTGGTGTGAGTCTGAGCCTCCCGTGTCCCCGTTCTGGGCAGCAGGGAGAGCAATGGTGTCCCACAGCAGAGCAGGGAGGAGGGTAACTTGTCCCTCAGCACCGATTGTAACAGACTTAAAATTGTCTTAAATATTCTCATATTTATGTTTTGGTCTCAGTAGATCAACGTTACTCCTTTTAATTAAGGATAAAAGACTCCTCATTAGATTAATTGGCTCTGAGTGTTTCTTTAAGTTCTCAGCGGGCTGGTGTTACGCAAGGAACTTCCATCACTGTCTTGGCAAAAGCAAATGGCCTGGGCCACAGTTAATTCTGTGAAGCCAGGGCTTGAAACCTCCTCACTGGAGAGGTGGGATTTCCTTTCCCAAGGTGACCAACCTTCCTTCCTGCCTGGGTGGGGCTGGGAGGGCAGGATGGGCCACGGCTGCTCCTGGAAATCCTCTTGCTGAGACCCCCGTCCCACAGCCCTGCGTGGGCATCGGCTGGTGCTGCTGGGGCAGGAGGGCCAGGAAAGCAGCTGCCTCCTTTTGGGGAAAACAAAGGATGAGATAATTCCCTGGCACGAGACCGTGTTCCTGCCCCACGGGAGCTCCCAGCGTGTTGGTTTGGGACTGATTTAAGAGCAAAAACACGCGGAGTCCTGACGGCCGCTGTCGTCAGCCTCGGGCAGCATTTCACACCCAGGTATCAGGGGTTTCTGCACCACCAGAACCTGCTGATCTGATTTACTGGGTGAGAAGATTACACACGAGTTGGTGTGTGCTTGGGTTTATTATTTTTTTCCTGTGGTACAGTATTATGACTCACTTGAAAGCCAAGGAATTTTCTCGGTACCGCTGCAACATGTTGAGCTGTAACCTTTTCTATGAAATTCTCTACATATCTCCTATAAAAATCAGCATCTTTATTAAGTGAGCTTCAAGAATCCTGGTAAATGAAAGAGGAAAAAAAAAAATCTTAGGATAAAAGGGGGAAAAGAATTGGAGTGAAAACTTCCACATGGTGTTTTCTTCTGTCCAGTTAACTTGAATAGTTTGTCCTCATGGAAGGTAAATAGGAGCTGAACTGAAATAGTAACAGTGTGGGTTGATTTAGGACAAAATTGAAAGTGCTGTTGGATAAAGAGCTAATGAAGATACATACTGGGTTGTTTTACTAGATAACATCAGTTTCAGTGATGTCTTTGTTAACACAGGTAAGGAACCTGCCTGCTTCTGTACTCAGTGAGGGTTGTTTGGCAGCACACGAGTAGTTCAGCGTCTTTGTTCTCCATCGGGGAAAACAACTTCTCCCATTTCATTTCTCCTTGCTGCTCACTTAATGTGAACAAATTGCTCTTTGCAGTCACTTTTGTGATCTGCTGGGATACTTGTCATGGTCTTGGGGTTTTTTTCCCTCTAGTGAACATTGTTTTCTAGCAGGGGGGTGTTGATCCCACAGGGAGCAGCCTGTGCCTGGCAGGAACATCAGCAGGATTCCTGCACTGAGGAGCAGTCCCCTGCAATGCACCTGGCTGCTCCAGGTTTGGAAATGGGACCATTAACACTGGAAAGTGGAGAGAAAATCCATTGTAGGGTTTGGACTGTCATTGAGTTTAGCTAAGGCTGGGTAGTCACCTGGCAGGAGGGCACTGGTGCTGCTGGAGCATGGAGGAGTTTTGAGGCTCTTCTCCCTTTGTTGTACAATGTATTGCAAAAATACCTGGAGGTTGCACCAGAATTTATTTTCTATTCATGATCATTAAGTTGTTCTGGATGGATGAAAGTGAAACACTACTTACAGGATGCACAGAAATTCTTTTACTCTTAGGACTTCTTCACCAAGTCTAATTTGTTCTAAAATGACTTAGTTCAGTTTGTGTGTGAAGCTGAGCTTGAGGTTGTGGTGAGAGCTGGAGATACTCGTGCTTTACTCAGAGTTGACTGTGTTCCTGCAATCCAGCAGTTCCCCCATCTCCAAATGTGTGTGCCCTGCCTGTGCAGAAGGGCTTTTTCTGCAGAATTTGCCCGAGGGGGGTTGGAAAAGGTCTGGAAAAGGTCTGTCCTGTGCCCCCCTGGTGCAGCAGAGCCCTTGGCCCCGGAGTCTGTACCCAAGTGTTCATGAACCAGCTCACTTGTACAAAGCCCTCCTCTGTCCTCCTGTTACACACCCCCTGCACTGCTGATATTAAAAACATGCCCTTTGCACTGAAGCAGGCAGGATAAATGGAAACACATTTTAATCATTCTTGTGAGTCCCAGGTAACTTTTTTCCATGGCTGTGGATTTTGAAGAGCCTGCTGGGGAGCCAGGGAGCTTAAGAGATCAGGTTGTGGCCTTGCAGCCCAAGTCCCTTTTGAGCTCTTGAAGTTGCATGAGGGCTGTGGCTTCTCCCAGGGATCAAAGCTGTTTGCTGGGAGCCACTGGCCCTCAGCTCCTTGCCACTGGCCCTCAGCCCCTCATTGGTGGCCACACCGAGGTGGAAAAGTGTTTTCTCTTTCAACAAGGGTCTGTGTAGCTTAATTCTTTGTGATTGTGAGAGGTTGTCCTTGGGTTCAAAGTGTTCTGCACTATATATTGTGCAGCACATGTGATGTGGGAATATAGAGCTGGAATATTTTTTGTAGCTTTCCCTAAACCAGTTTATTTTCGTAACATCTCATTTTACATCACAGAGCTGCTTCTCATGCGAGCCCTCCTTCTGTCTCTTCCTCCTGGAGGTTAAGAAATTCCTAACCATTGTTTACAAAAGGGTTCAGGAACTTTCCTCTCCAGGCAAATACATTTGGGGTGACTCTTGTCACGGGTGCTATAACCCAGTCAGAAATGACCCATAGTTTAAAGGTAGTAGATGATGATCAGCAGGTACCTCTCCAGGACTGTCTCTCCTGGCACAGTGACCCACAGCCTGGCACTGCCACCAGTGACTCTGCAGTGCCCAAGGCAAGGGCAGTGGATGCTTTCTGTCAAGTCCCAACTCTTGGAGTCCAGGATGGGTTTGGGGCTCGGAGGGGTAATTTTGGAGGTGTGTTCAGCTCTGTGCTGCTGGGTCTGCTCACAGGGAAGGTTTCTCAGATGTGCCAGAACTGTTGTTGCTCAAAGCACATGGTTGTAGGTTGTAGGAGCCAATGTTGGCTTCTCAAACTGGTGATCTTCAGTTAATCTCTGATAGTCTGGAAAATTAGCTGAATTATGTTGTTTGTACTTCTGGCCTTTAAAGGTCTAATTGAAAACAGTGAAGTGGATAAACTTTAATTGCTTTGGATCAGAACACAAAGTCTGATGTTCTCTAAAACTGTGTCTAAAGCCTGTGGCCTCTGGAGCTCGGGATGTGGAGCTGAAACAGGCTGGAAGGACAAAGAGGGCATTCTGCAAAATATGTAAAATAATAAAATCTTTGATAGAAGTATTCACTTTTTGAGTCTTCTGTCCTATTTCAGTCTTGGGGGACTAAAGTGCCCCAATTCAGCTGTTCTAGCAGGGTTGGAACAGGCAAAGCCAATCATTGAATCCGTTACCTCCTGTGTGCTCCAGCTCTGCTGGGCAAAGGCACCAACTCTATTTGTGTTTCTGCTGAAATCTTCAGCTTGATTCTTTTCATGCTCCCTACATGTTTCCTGAAATTGGATACAATATGTCCTGTGAAAAGCATTTGAGCTCCATTCCTTTGCTGGTCGTGCTCCCTGCTCCTCTGGCCGTGTCTGAGCATCGCGCTGTAGCTAAATGAAATACCTTCAGCTGATGGGAGGGAAAGGAGATCTGGTAAAAAGCAGTGGGGAGCAGAGGGATTTGCTAGAAATTGAATAAGTGCTTGTAGAAGGAAGAAGGAAAAAAAGCTCTCCATGTTTCTGGCTCAGTGAGGAATTCTGAGGATTAAATCCAAGTAACCTGTCATTCAACATCTCTCCCTTGAATACAAAAGGCACAGGCTGTGCTCATGTGGTGCTGACGGGTGCAGCAGAAGGAGGAGATGGTTTGAGAAGGGCTGGGCAAGGCAGGTGCTTGCTACAAGTCACCTATTTTTTGTTTGTATGGCTCATTCTCCTCCAAATAATCCCTTTTCCTCTGCTCATTCCTTCCCCCTGTGGGAAGGGACAGGCTGGGGGTCTCCAGGGAGTGATGAGCGGAGAGGGTTGGTCTGGGTGGGCACTGCCCAAAGGTGCTCACTGCTCATCATGCTGCATTGGCACCACCCCAAGACCCACCTGCTCCTGGGTGTTGGGATTCCACCCATCCAAGCAGCTCCTTCTCAGCTCTGCCTCATGTCCCCATGCTGGGGTGGCTCATGCATCGTGTTTGCCTGGGCTGGAGGAGCTCCCGGTGCTGTGTGGCAGGAGGTTGGTTATACTTCAGAACTGATGGTCCTGGGAGGCAGGCGTGAGAAAACACATTGTGAGTCTCTGTTTCATAAGCTAAAAGCATTCTCCTTGGTGAAGCTTCCCAGGCCAGCTTTGAGGAAGGGTTTGCAAACCCTCTGAATTTAAGAGAGGCCGTAAAAAGCAGGAGGAGCAGCCAGCAGAGGAAAGCAAATGAGGTCCCGAAGGGGGGAAGTTTGTTCTGATCTTGAATTTGAGAACTGCAAAGAAATCCATCTGGTTCTAGGTTTCCGAGAACAACTGCATGAGTGTGTTGCACAACATGAAGCCTGGCAGAGGTCTCACAGCCCTTGAGATGAGAAAAAGCAGACTGAGCTCCATTCTGGGAGCAGCTTTTTGTGCAACAGGGATATCGGGTTCCAGAGAAGCTGAGAGCAGCAGGGGAGGCAAAGGCTGGTGTTCTCTGGAGGGGTAAATGCTTTGTGTGTTTCCCACAAAGCCATTAGCTGCCCCCAGCATGAAGCACAGCTCTCCAGAGCCTGCAGAGAGCTTGGTGGAAAAGGCTGAGGGACCTCCATTGCCTCATCTCCATGGTCTTGTAGGTGTTAGGGTAGCAGGAGTGCCCTGATGTTTATCAAGAGGAGTCTGCTGATCCCTACGGATGCTGCTGGGTCATCTGTGGCTTTATAACCTGAGCAGACATCAGGGTGAGCTGCCACCAGCAGCAGCATCCTCCTCCTGCCGGGACGAGGGGCCGGTGGCAATCAGGGATGCTCAGAAGCTCAGCAGTGCAGGGAGAGCTCTGCAATGCCATGTCTCCATCATCAGGCTTTCATGCCTTTTGCAGAGTGCCCAAGCAATAAGCTTCAGTTTTAGAGCAACGTTTGCTCTCGATGTACAAATTGCTGAGTTTAACAAGGAGCAACAGCCGAGGCTTTGCAAGCTGCCTTGGATTAAAGTGAGTCCATGGAGGTTATGGTCTCCAGGCCCTTGGATGGAGGAGGTTTTCATTCCAGAAACAGCCCCAACGAAGGGTTTGGTGTGGAGGAGCCCCTGGGGCCAGAGAAGAGGACCCATCCCTGTCTCCTGCAGGCAGAGGCCCCGGCGCCGCTTCCCTCAGACCGGCTGTGCATCTGAGCCCCCGTGCACAGATAATTAACACTAAAGGCTTTTAAAAAAGCAGAACCCTGTGGCTCACAGTGGCCAGCCAGCACAGACCATTGCTTTTTACCCCGGAATGTTTATGGTCCTTCTTTTCCTCTCTGTGTCACAGTTGAAAGTTCTTTATTTCCCTTGAAATAATAAAGTAAATCTGGGAGTTGGAACCCGTAGCCTGGTTGTATTTTCAATTTATTTATTTACTGAAGAGCACGAACTGGGGAGCAGTTAAAATTATATTATTCCTGGCAGCAAAATTCCTTTTTTAATAGATAATTTGAAGTTGTGATGCTGGCAGCAGCTTTCCCCACATGTGTGTGCAGGCACAGTGTGGAAGGAGCAGAGCCCGGAGGGCTCGGGGTGGCTGCTGAGGTGGTGGAAGTGCTGGGAGCTTGTCTGAGTCTGCAGGCTTTGTAGCTGGTGGCAGAAAAACCCCATCCTAGGCAGCTTCCTGCAGCTCATCCTCCAGGCCTGTTCTTATCAATGGGACTTTTGCCTCGGGAAGAACTGGAGGATTGGACTTTCTAGCAGGATCTGGTTTTTATTCCTTGTAGCTGTTGGTTTTTACAAGGCTTGGGAGCACCGGTGTTTCCTGACATGCTCCAGTGATCAACATTTGCTTCCAATTAGTATTTATTGGATTATTTCAGTCAAAAGCAAGCTTTGTATTACAGCCCTGCAACATGCACTTGGTTATTTGTTCACAGGACAGTGTTTTCCTCTTCTGCTTGGTTTTGCATCAGATTCAGTCTACTGAGAAGCTGTTGCAAGGCAGGATTGCTGAGGGTCTCTCCTGAAACAGAATAAACCAGATTAAAACAGATTAAACCACATTAAACAGATTAAACCAGATTAAACATATTACCACCTTTTACACAAGCATCTGTTTCTCCCATTGGTGTTTCTGACTCATGTAGCTGGAAATAGCAGCAGCCTTAGGCTGTGTTCAGCTTTCTGCTGCTTTTCCCAATAGCTGGAATGAGCCTTTCCCTGGGGAAGGGGCTGCTGGTCACTCCCCAGGCTGAGTTTGGGTGGGTAAAGCCTGGCTCTGGCAGCCTGGGTTGGATTTATGGATGTGTGCAGGGCAGAATAACAAAGCCTTGGAAAAACATGTAGGTAATGTTTTATGTAGGTAAAATAATATGGAAAACTTGTGTTTTAATGGCATCTGAGTTCCTGACTTGAGGTCATACAGCACAAAGATTTCCATAGTTTGCCTTGGGAATTAACAAGCCAATGAAAATATGAAGGCCAAGCTAAACCCTTGGCCAAGGTGTTTCTCACACTGTTAATTTCTGATCTTATTTTGGGAGCAAACCTCCCCAAATGAACACAGATCTTTGTGGCCAGGGGTAGTTACAAGTGAATGAAAATACCCAGATTGGTCCCTTGGCTGCAGGTCATGCCCAACCTGTATGGGTGGCTGCAGAGATGGAGCTTTATGGTGTTTTGGTGTTTGGTAAGTGAGGAGTGCTTGTCCCCAAGCCAGGAGAGCACTCCATGCTCTGGGAGTGATGCAAGGCACAGGGAGAAGCAGATTCCCAGCCCTGATTTTTGTGGTAATAGCAAATACACTTCAGCA